ACCGAAGCTGCAGTTTTGATTAAAAACCCTTTAAATAGTTTGACACCCAGTCAAACCTTACCTGATGATTGACCATAAACCTTGAAACACTTAGTTTTATCCTTTTTTAAAGAATAAAACAAGATTTCTCGTAGGAAAACGATGGACGGCACGGAGGTCCCCCAGTATGTCCTAGACCTGGTCTTATGTCGATAGACGCCAAAGCAAAAACCAAGCTGTGCATATTTATATATTTTACAGAGCACATCGGTTTAGCCGCCGTAACGACATAAAGAAATGTGCCTGCTCTTGGACGGCAGAAAAACTTCCGTTCGCATGAGGCAAGCGGCGCAACGGCGGCGGCAAACGGAGGCCAAGTAGAAGAAAGAACATCGTTGCCTCTAAAATGAGTTTGGACGGACGTACGGCAACGAGTTTCGAAAACTCCGCCACTCGGACGATTCCTTTATGAGCCCCTAGGAACAAATGAACCCATCTGCCAGCTGCCACCAGTGGCTAGGAGGCAGAAGAACAGGGAATCGCCCGAATAAGAGCTATCAACGAACCGTCCATCGGCTGTCGGTCAGGTCGTCCCTGGTCCAGGTGTTAACCTCGTCGTTATCCGTCGAGAAAGAAATTCATGTGCGCGCAACTGTAAACTTCGAAAATACGCAGCACTTTAAATCAATATCGTTTCGTTCGTTAATCCGTGCTACAAAAGCGGCCGCAGCTCTGATCGTAGTCACCATCGTCGTTCATGCAAGTCGCCATGGACCTTTGCTGGAGTGCCGCCGTTTCCGTCCACAAGACGATTCGACAAAGCGAACGATGGAAGTGACGACAAATACGACAAAACACAACACGTCCAATAATCGTACAATGCACGTCGAAAGAGCAGCCCCGACGTCTCAACAACCTCATCACTAGCCCTCGTTGACTCACTCTTTTCTGTGACCGCAGTGACCGACGAAACACAGAATACGGCAGCAAAACACAAGTTAAATCTCACCTTGCTACTGACTTCATCGCCACCACCGCTGCCGCTGCTGCACGCCGGCGGTGCCCCTGTTTCTCCCGCTGTTCCTTCGTCCATCATTTTGAAAGATTCTGGCCGAGTGATCCTTGCGGTGATCGCACTCATCACGTTCCTACATAAAAATCAAGCGTCGTTCTCTTCCATGGTCTGCCTAGCGGCTTGATGTGAAGAACTCTCTAATAACTACAGCAAATCACTGATACCGTCGCATACTAGGTAGCGGGCATTATGTAACAAAACTTGATTGTCACGTTCATTTAGTCGTTTCATATTCTGAGACAATACTGCATTGAACAGCCCCTTTATAATGTCAACTATTTTGTTCGCACGTCTTTCAACACATGACATAATTTAGACACTTGAACGATATCACTGACAAAGATAACTTTTAGGCATACAATTCATCAGATTATTTTGATTTCAAAAGTTCATTCTGACTCTATGCCATGAACCTGTACGCATTTTAAGTTTTCGACTCAGTGACTTTTGGCGCAAGACAAAGGCTGGCATTATGAATCGATTATTGCACAGCTGTCAGCATTTTGACCACACGACAGTAGCTTTCTTCAGGATAGAAAACTGACAACAGTTAGTACTGTATGAGATTATAAAAGGAGGCAACAGCAACTAGAACGTTATAAACATAACATCTTATCTTCGATGAGAAATTATCAAATTATCTAAGGGCTAGCTACAGCATAAAAGGTATGTGTAACAAATTAATATATGCACTTATTACTTAAAGATTTGGCACGGAATTAGAAACTGCGCAGTAACTGTTGAATTAGATCGAGATCAGCACTATCTTACATCTGAGTTTGATGAAGTCCCTGTCGATTAGGTCAAAATTGAATGGGTTGCTAATGGTCTGGACAAATAGCTGTAATTATTACTGGTTAATGCTTGTTTTGTACAATTCATTATTTCAGTGGAATTCTGCGCGAGCAACATAGAAACAATTATAATATGAAGCAAATGACTAATGGACTAGGCGATGAATGCATAATGGTGTTGCAGCCTACCTAAACGTCAAAGATTTCAGGCACAATTTTCTCTGTATTCACTCTCCTGCAACTGCTTCAAAAATGTTTCTTATTCTATGGATATTCCGATTTTCATCGTTCTGCTGGCGTCACACATGACTAAATCAATCCTTCTGAGGATGTTTTGTCGCCACTGATAAAGTCCGTGCCATGTGCTTCAGTTTTGCTTCACAGAATTTCCATCCTCCTGTCACAATAAACCCATCTCAGTGCTTTTGGTTTACATGGAAAATGATACGGTCTTCTTGTTAGATACGATCGTTTCTTTTAAACGTGTTTCTGCCATTTATTCGTAGTTTCACCGGAAGCACAATTCAAATGATTGTTTCTCGACATCTGCAATTTATAACACTGAATTGGGCAAAAAATTGTAATAAACATCGTTTTAAATAAATATCATTTCTCATACTACCTTATGTGAACAGTCAATGACTACAAAAAAGTTTTTCTGTGTAG